CTGAGCTAACTGGAGAAGAATGGAAATTAGCATTATTAGTTGCTGCAAACTAATACCGGTTATTGAGAAAAGAATGCAGTTGTGCAAGTACATTACCATCTAAGTTTAGTTTACTCAGTTTTAGAAAAGGTTGTTCGTGGATTACTTTGGGGAATGCTTTTGAATAATCAAGGAATATGCTGTCCGTCAGAAATCCATGATCAAGAAGGGAATGTAGATCTTGTGTAAAACTCGACAGTTGAGTCTCGTATGAAAATGTTTCACGAAACCCTTGCTGGCAATTTTGAAAAAAAAATTGGACTCTACAAAGTTTGCAAGGTGGGTGTAAATAACATGTTTAATTTTTTCATGTAAAATTCCTGTAAAATTATAAAAAAAATTTACATTGATTGCTGGTAAGCGACGCGGGTCGAAAGTTATTTGGACAATGATTTCCGCCTGATTTATGCAAAGGAATCACCTTCCCAATCCTCCAATCTTCAGGTATACAGCCTGTCTTAGGGTATTGTTCAAACGTTTTAGTCAGGATGATCAAGCTCTACATCTTAGTATGGATAAACATTTAAAGATTAAGTTTTCAATACCGGAAGAGCACAATATCGTAAGGCATTCAACTACCCTTGAACTACCGGCCGTTTCTATAAAAAAATTGTTCCATCGGGGAAGCCTCCGAAGATGAAGTCAGGATGATTAGTCAATGTTTTAGTAGAAAACTCCAAAGAAGACACAGTGCTGAATATAAAAGCACATCCATCGCTCGGAATTGCTGTGCCGCCATAAGTTCTAAGTTCTATAAACGAATATTATTTTTGTTTCGAAGATTTCAAAATTCTTAGTTTTTATAAAATGCATAGAAGGTAATGTTTGATGTAAAGTTTTTGATGCAAAGTCACGTTTCATTCTCCGCAATTATCAGCCTACAAGTGTTACCGTAATGAAAGCAAAATTAAACCTCCCTCTTTTAAAACACAGGAGAAAAGTATCGCGTCTTACCCACCTGCACAAAATATATTATAATTTTCCTATCAAAAAATATGAATACTGCCCACCTGCCGTCCACATCTCCCCCCGCACTGACCATCCATTCAAAATTCAACTTACTACGCCTAGGACTAACCTATTCAAATTTTCTCCCTTGCAATTGGCTATTACTGATTGGAACATCCTCCCGGAAGCTATTGTGAGCATCAGAGAATGCAATAACTTCAGATTTGCCATTTCCTCTCTCGACACCACCTAGCGTCCTGCTTGTACGCATTCCCAGACATCCTAGCCTTTTTTTCCTGTTTGTGTTATTTTGAGTGTTTAAATATGCCCCCCTCATGTAAAGCCCCCTGTGGGCATTTAAGGGTTAAATAAATGAAATGAAATGAAATGAAAAGTAAACCTTCGGATTCTTTGAGGTCTATTTCGTAAGCATTTGCTGCAGAGAAGTAGATACAACGGGACTGGGAATCGGATGAACTAGCGGAACGAAACATGCGGTTTTTTTTTTTCTCCTTGACAGGCTTTTTAATGACTGGTTAAACCAAGTTGGCTTTCATTAGGAGGGGGCGATTCTTAGCAATATGAAGGTGTTTGTGAGAGGTGTGAATTTATATCTAAATAAGTTCCAGTTATTATCTAAAACCTCTCGTTAAATCTTTGTAGAAACTCACCCAGAAAATAACATAGCTTACGGTTAATAGTGCCAAAGTCCACTTTCTTATAATCTCTGATATATTTGTTGTGGCTATCATTGCAAGGGAAAAAAACGTTTAGTGAGAGATGAAGCATAGAATGATCTCTTAAACCTAGCGTGTAAGAAATGGGAGCGACAGTTACAAGTGAGGTGGTCAACTCAAGACCTAAAGCGCACGATGTTGTTAATGTAATTCGGGTTAGTTGAGTTACAACTTGAAAGAAATTAAAATCGGCGCACATGTGTAAGCAATTAATAAAATCAGTAAAATATGAACTAAGATAACAGCATGCATTCGACCAGATAATATTTGGATAATTAAAGTACCCTAGCAACACAATTCGCACATTTGGAAATCGTACAATAATTATATTATTTGCATCATGCGAATCTCCACAAAAGAAGCACAACGACAGCTGTCGATCATAAACACCTAAAACGAACCTTTTGTAACATACGCGAAGTTCTACCCAAACAAGTTCTAAATTGCTTACGACATTTACAAAAGAAGAAAAACGTTATCGGTCACGGCAATGGGGAAAACACCACCGCCACATCTTTGCCCTCTATCATACCGAGAAACATTGAAAAGCATGATGCAAAAAGTTCATTGTTTCGAACCTTTGCGGAAAGTCACGTTTCAGTAAGTACTACCAAAATCGGCATCGCACGAGTCAACGACCGAGTTCAGCTCCTCAGGTTTGGATGAAACACTTCTTGTAGTTGTGAACAAAAAATAAAATTTATTTTTGCTATCAGAAGCCAGTCTACTGCCCCTCGCGTTACGTTATTGTGAAACGCGTGCTTTTCATAATTCGCATTCATTGTTCGGTCACTGACAGTGAGGGTGCTGTCCAGGGAAGCTGGCAAGTTCAAACACTTGCAACAATACTTAAAAACAAGCGAGCTGGTGGTGATTTATGGTAACAAAAAAAACCGAGACTCAGGAACACAGACGTTGAGTTGTGTTCGTCACCGTCTGTGTTCCTGAGTTTCGGGATTTTTATTACCAAGTTCAAACACGCTGTCATCAACAGAGTTATAACCATAAGTTTGGCGCTTGAAAACAAAATGTGCTGTTTTATTTTAAAAGAAAGAAAGTTTACAATAGCTCGCATGTGTCTGTTGTTTGAGAAGTCACAGGGCCTATGTGCGCGTTCAATCGAATCCGTGGGAATAGGAAATTCAGTGAGGCTGAGACGACACTCAGTGCCCCTCCTCAGTTTGATCGCAGGTTTCAGAATAAGAGTCCGTCAAACCATAAAACAAAATATTATCTCGTAGTGAACGTTCCTCCAGCTCATAGTTACTAAAACTCAATCGCGAGTTTTCATCAGACTATTGGTCACCTGCCGCAAATCGCACAAGTCTTGCCAAATGGCGTCACAAGACGAATTTTTAGATTGTACCGCAATCAGCCCTCTATCAATGTCTGTAATTTTCTCTTAAATTGATTCCTGGTTTCTTTTAATATAATTTACTGTACAGTTTAATATGACTGATTTGGTTTTATCCTCGATGTGCGTGAATTCACTTCTTGCAACATTACCAATATATCATTGAACCGTTTTTATAGGGCGTCAGTTAGTGGACTATCGGTCACTGGTGCAGCCAGCTAGTGGGACAGTGTAGGAGGATCGTCCTTTTAAGAACCTGGGTTTAACTCTATGTCTCCTGACATCAGGAGCATCAAGCGAATAACTTCAAAGCATTGACGGCAGTGCTTCCGGCTTTCGGCTTTCGTGCGCATTTTTTTCTATGAAATCCTTTAATGTGCGTTCTCCATCAACAGGACCTCAGCTAATGAGCATTGTTTTGACAAATTTGAACGCCAAATTTAATGAAATGATAATTAATGATTTGTATGTTGTATATATATTTATACAGCCGCAGGTCCGTCAGCCTTAAAGGGACCATGAAATGAATTATGGGTTGGGATAAATGTTTTAATGGGGATTTTACTAATCGCTTACCGTTTAGTGGACCAAAGGAAAACTAGAACACGAAGATAGTTTTGACTATTTGTTACTTCCTTTCTTTGAAAGTTCTCCGCCGATTTACTGTTTCACATTCGCTGTTTCCTTTTGTTACTTAAACTAGTACACGAGAGTAGAAAGCCAAAAGCATGTTTTGTCGGTACGAACATTTTAAAACATGGCCGATTATTTATCACTTCTTTCTTGGAAAGCTCTTCACCATTTCACTGTTTCACATTTGCTTTCACTCTTACACATTCACAATGCCCAATCACGTCAGCTGAACGCAGTTTATGCATTGGACAGGAGACCGCGTCACTCGTGCGTACGCGCTCGTCAACAATGATTCCATCGACAAATATTGGAAATCACTTTCGTGGCCAATGAGTGTCGGGACGGAACCTATTATCACTTGCGAATTACAAGTTTCATTGTGTGCTTCAAAAGCACGATAAAAGCCTGAAGTCATCAATCCGGTGCCCAAGCACGTTACTACAACGTGATTTCTCATTTTGCTTTGAGTTGAAGATTAACACTATGCAAGAAGAAGATAAAAATAATTTTATGGTCCCTCTAAAGGGCGTCTGCTGTCTCAGCTGTAAATGAGAAATTTAGCCAGTGCATTACGTCGACTAGCCTTGGGGTCTTTGACGTGCACCAGGCAGTAGTGATACACTGCCGCACGCCGGTATGATACCCATACAAATCAAAACGGGCAGAGATGGGAATTGAACCAAGGATTCCTGGGTTCTGCAGCGCGATCCACGTGCTCTGAGCTGAGTTTCGGAGGAGGATAGCCGGATATCCCCATACAAAGCGTAGGGTGATAGCACTGTTCACTGAACAAAGCTAGTGATCATACTTTTATCGGACAAATATACTATGGACTTAGAAGGCTTATTTAGCCTTTTAATCAAGTAATGTTTGGTCGTTTTCGTCCTGGGTTTTGTTTTTCTTAGGTTCGAGACATTATCCGGAAAGTAAGTCGTCTGCTTCTTCCCCAAGAGGTGCGGTGACGTCAGCACGACGCCGAGTTCTGATTGGCTTTGATTGGAAGGATAGTGGGTAGACCTTGATGTTGGATGCCTTGTGGTCTACCCACTATTTTTGCCAATGAGCCAATAAGAGCTCGGCGTTCTGACATTATTGCGACCCCAGTGCAAGAAGCAGACGAACTTGTGCTGCGCGTAGAAAATGAGTTGGTGTACCAGGATTCTTCGAACGTTTGCAAACAAATATAGTCATAATTACTCACTGAAAATAGGTCAACGGGAACCCAAACAGCTATTTGCATTTTTTTTATGCGATGAACAGAGTGTATAACCCATTTCGTCTGGATGCAGCTCCGCTTTCGGCCACGGTGAGACCTCGGAGAACGGTGGCCGTAGAGGGTTCGTCGGCCACCTTCAACTGCAGCACATCCGGTCACCCTGTGTCCGCCGTGCTCTGGCTCAAGAACGGCCAAGCTGTGTCGTCCAGGGTGAAGATGCTCACGCGGGAGACGCTGCACATCGCCAGCGTCCTGAGGGACGACAAGGGGATGTACCAGTGCTTCGCGCTCAACGACTACGACGCCGCGCAGGCCACGGCAGAACTCACCCTCGGAGGTAAGCTGGCCCTTGTGGTCATACTATGGGGAAGCGAGGATTGGACTGACTCAAGGCGCAGTTCCATAGCTCGTACATCATGCAAAAGACACGGCGTTCACTGCAGACACTACGGAAGAGTCATCTGTGGACGCACCTGAAGCTTCTTCGATGCATGTTTGATTCATATGTATGCATAATTCAAAGATGTCTGCAAACAGTTTATATGACCAATATGACAAGATTGTTACAGAGGGAAGAAACACGCTTCAAGCAACGCCGGCCGACTGTATTTTGTATGATGGATAAGCACTGGTTCCACTGTTTCAGAGATATCGACAATTCTAGGTCGTATGACTCCATGGAGCCCGTATCTACTAGGGCCTGACTAAAAGGGACCAAGAGTCCGGGACATCACCGCCTGCTGTGATTGGCCACCTCCGCGCCCCTTACCAATTGCAGCAGGCGGTGATATCTCGGTTCCTTGGTCTCGCCGTGTCCCGCCGTGTAGATTAGGCTCCTGAAATAAAAGTAAAATGTTACTCTTTGGTGAGCAGACGTCGCGCTGAGACTTTCTTCTGGTTATCTTTCACCAGTGACACGCGACCAACCCATCTACGCCTCGTAATAGATGTCACACGGTGTATCTGATATTACCTATACAATATCCGGGGACATCTTGCCACGAGCGTTAAAGTTACAATGGTAGTAGAATGAGCGTAGATTTCAACGAGCATTTCTCTGTCGTCAGTATCTGCAGTTCTCTATTCACACACAACATGATCACAATAGAACTACGACGACGAAGCACCGCTCAGCGCTGAGAACTCCAGCCTAAAGACACTTCTTACCGTGTAATCCAAAAGAAGTAAAAAGAAACAGTACGTAAAAATGCACAATTATTAATTTTTTTCATTATTATTTTTTTTTTTTTTGGGGGGGGGGGGGGGTGGATTAAAAGGATGTCAGGTTTTATACGGTCACCCAGCTATCCGGAGCGCCTTACAAAGTTCATCCGTCGTTGTGTACGAAGTGCGTTCCCATAATAGAAACCAAGCATTCCGTATCGAGGCCTCAGAAGAGCAATTATCTTTCGTTTTTGACACCACGAAGTCGCACTAGTTCAGAATACTTATAATAGTCTCTTGCGGGATAGGAACGACACCGCGTCTCTTTTTGATGCCCCGCCTCCAACACGCGCTCCTTGCTTCTGTCGAGCTTTGGCCGAGCGTGCCCGCTCGAGAATGACGTGACGCCAAAGCGTTATCCGAGGCAAGGAGCTCGCTCTGGAGGCGCTGCCTTTAAAACTGCTCCCTGTCGTTCTCATGCTGTCAGCGACCTTAGCGACTGGACGCCACCTAACAAAACAGATACTCGGTGTCGGGATGGAAAGATTTGAAAATATCGGACGCTTCTCAATGTCGAGATGCTGTCGAATCTCGCGCAGCAAGTCCCCTGGGCAGACAAACAAATACTCCGCGGCGCTTGCACTGCATTTCGCGAAAGAAGAAACGCTAAAAGCCAGACCCCCGCGAGACGTAAATCGCTCGAACTACAGCGCGATGTCTGCTCGGGGAAAGAGAATTGCCTTGCCGTGCTTTCTCCGCGTTCATCTCGGTTTATTGGAGGAGCCCCAGAAAGTTCACATTTTTCGGAAAAGTTTCGACCGAAAACAAAAATAATAATTTGAACGTCGTGCGTGACAAGTGAAAGACACAAAGACGCACGCCCGTTGGCTCGCTTCCTCGGACAAGGCGGCTGGCCTGAGGGCGAGTGTCCTACGAGGGCGTGCTAGAGAGTCTAGTTTTAGAAGAAAGCGCAACTCAAACCATGGAGAACGTACGCAATTTAATGCCGGATACCTCTAGCGCCACTTCACTGCCAGTGCGCACGCGTTGCGACCAAACGTGTCGAAGAGGTAAAGCGGGTGGAGAGGCTTAGGGCCGATCAACGTTTTCGTCGCCTCCTCGCAGCTCGCATTGCAGACGCGGACCGCAAACCACGTGACACCGATTGAACAGTTGGAGACACTCTAATATCCTGGCACACTAGAGCGTGCGCGTACAGACAGGCCCGGGATCTTCCGCCCCTATCGGACGCCGAAAAGAAGAAACAGCGCCGCTGGGAATCGGTAGGGTGTCCCTCGCCTTCCGCGCTCGTTGCTTCCTTCCGGAGATGAAAGAGACGGCGGCGTCTGCTTGATTTATCCTCCACAAGCGAGCCGGAAAGGAAGAATCAAAACGTTATCGGAACCCTAGCAGGGGATCGCCAAGATTTCTGCCGGCAGCCATGTTTGCTCCTCCCTGGTCAGGTGTACCCGCTTCTTTTGTATTTTATTCTTTCTTTCGGTCATTGTCTTGGCCTAGCTTGTGCAGTTTGTATCTTGTTCTAGACGGCAGCGCTGAGTCGGCAATCTGGCCTGGTTTTTGCTGGCTTGCTCTTTTCTGGGGGGGCCGAGTTCGCTCGCAAGAAGGGGAGTGCTGCGAAAGGGCTCCGTCTTGCTTGATGAAAGCCGATGCCAATCAGCGCGCTTTCTACGCTACAAGAAAAGGAGGGTCGCGGAGCTTTGTTTATTTTTACGTTGTACTGCTTTCTTTCGTTTCTCGGACACTTTGAATCACACTAGTCTATTCGGTATTTTTTGTGTTCTGAATTATCGCGGTGTCAAGTGAAGTTGGCACAAACTATTTTTTTTTTTTGTGCAAAAACTTTAGACCAAGGAAAATACCTGGTGTGTGAGATGGTACGTTGACCCCATTGAAAGGCCTTACAAGTTGGCTTCTTAACGTATCTCTCAGAGATTTACTATCAAGGTGTTATTAGGTGTCGCGCTTTTGCATAGCAACTGTGAATGATTAGCTGTCCTAAATAAAAATATAATGAATGAGGGACATCTTGGTTCCCTTGCCATGTCGTCCTTCGGCATAGAACACACGTCATATTGGCGCAATAAAGGCCAAACGGTGACAGCGATTTACAAAGTGTTATGCAAGGCCAAAATATATTAAGAAATACATTTTTCTTTGTTTTGTGCCCACTGAGGGTGTTTGATTAGTAACAATGAGAATTGAATACGCTGGCAACTGACACAAAATTATCGCGCTGCTTTTTCTTGTTAATTTTGTCTGCTTTCAATCAGGCGGACGTTACCGACATCTGGCAGCTGCCGCGTCAATCAGACGTGTGACGCCGCCATGGCATCCAAAAGTGCCAGCGCGCAAAGCTTCCACGGTCAAGCTCATGCTTCAGGAGGAACCGTAATTAAAACGCATAGCTTATGGTCGAGCACCGACTACGTTAGTAGCAAATCGCTGGTTCGGTCCCAGCCTCACAAAGTTTTCAACGGTGTTTCTTTAACTAATTTCTGTAGAACCGAAGTTTTCAGGAAACAATATTCCGGTTCCTTCTGTCGCTCGGCTCCAATGGTTGCCCGAAGGCTGGACTGCATGGGGCGAATGTGCTTCGAAATATCGACGAACTTTGCCCGGCGGCTCCCTCTCTGCGCGGGGCATCAACGCAGTAGCTGTTACGTCGCGAGCGAATTCCAGCGTGCCGTCGGGTGAAGTTTGTCAGTTATTCGTCACACAATTAGCTCCATGAAGTTCAACCTTAAGAAGGGATCGCGCCCTCGGGTCAAGACCCCTGAGAGCGCGACTCTCAGCAAGTGGTCTTCTTTTTCAGAAATCACAGCCACTATTATTTGTAATGGCGGGCGCGTGTTTAGACAACCGAAGGACGCTACATGCCGAGGCAGTGTCACGAAGCTATAGCGTCGTTTGCAGGCGGACGCCGTACATGCAGATGTAAACAAGCTGTCAGCAGTATGTCTGAATAAGAAAAGTTTTTAATTTTTTTTTACTAGGGTATGTTTTTTCTTTTTAATTTGCATTCTCAAAACGCACCATTTACTAGCATTTTTGTTAGAGCATCGTGAGATACGCCTTGAAAATAATTTATGTTGTTCCTTCAAATTGTAAACGTGCCATTGGGTTAGCCCCTGCAAACTTTTTACTTCCTACAGTCTTTGAAAAAAAGTTCGAGTTTTTTCAAACTATACAGTGATGTAGAGAATACAAGCGCGACTTCCACGCTATGCACGAAAGCTCGTGTTAATGGAGTGTGTATCAAGACAGCGCGAGGCTCGCACTTATGATGAAACAAAGCATAATTACTATGAACAAAACTAAATTTATTTTTGCGTACACTTTAAATAACGTTGAGCGAATGTCTATTCTTCACGAGTGCGAAAAATGTGTAACTGAGGTGCTTTCAAGTTAATGATTAGGAAGTTGGCTTTTCGCCCGAACTCTGCTGAAATACGCCAAAGAATATAACGTCATTAAAAAAAAAAAAAAAAAAACTTGGTACGTGTTGCAGTAGCATTTTGAGCGAACTTCTCAAAACTGTGAGAGATTAACCGATGCTCAAACTAATTTGTACTGTGATTTTAGAATTACATTAATCTCCTTATTCTTGCACTCAAACGATACCCAAAAAGGTTTTAAAAATTTGAGCGCGTGGCACATGAATCGAAGGCTCACACTGCAGAATCAAACAACATTAGGTGTAATCACCGCCCGGGCCCGTTGAAAATTGAATGAGTTCCGTACTGGCCTGTGTTCCCGTTCATCACTACTGCTTATGCATGTTAAAAGCCGCAGATTAGCTGCGGTGGCTGCCTGACTGCAACATGTACAAACATTACCCACATAAAATCATTGATTCAAACCTCTCCTTTCGGGTGCGATGTCTCCTCTGCCCGTAGTTTTCTTTTTTTTTTTTTAATTAAATGCCCTTTTTCGTAAATAATCGAGGAATCGAGGCCACCGCGACCTTACATAAATGAAGAGTGTCTTTGCAAAGCACACAGCCGGAAAACCGAGCGAGGAGCCGTGGCAGATCGAACGCAATGTGCACATCTCTGTGGGTTGGAAGATGCTATAAGGAATCGTTGGCGGTAATAACAATGCCAACCTAGGAGTGCACCTAAATGAACGGGAGTGCGCGCTTCAACACAGAATAAATCTATACACTAGCACCCCTCCTTTCTTTGGGAAGGCCGGGGGAAGTTGTCTTCAAGTGCAAACTACGCACCCCCCTCCTCCCCCCCCTCTCCCCCCCCCTCTCCCCCCCCCCCCCGGCCCCCCACCGAAAAGATAACTAGCACTTACCAGTTTGTTTTTTTACCGCAAATATAAACTACGCATCGCCGAACTCGCAATTTCTGCCCGATTGTAGCACTAGTGGTACGAACCAGGTGCTAAAGTTTTAGAACTAACCGTTATCTTATTAAAAAGTTTTAAGCGATAATCGGAAATTTTCAATAAGTGCCGACCGAGCTCTCTCGAATGCATGGAGCTGAATGGCGCTAGTTACGGGACGCGAAAATTGACCGCATCTCCACGTGGTGAATGATGTTGATTGGGGCGAAGCTCTGGTGGTGCTTGTCTGCGTAGACGCTGAGCCGCAGCACGCCGAGCCTTTCGTTCGTTTTCATCCATGTCAGAAAGAAAATGTGTGGTATGGAACGTGGTTATATGTGCATTTGAGCATTTGACCGCAGCGCCCTCTTGTCTATAAACGTTGAGCCAATGCATGCAAAGTTTAACGCGATTATATACGCATTTGATCGCAGCGCCCTCTCCCGTATAGACGTTAAGCGGCTACATACAACGTTTCATCCATGACATCCCCAGCTCTTGAGTTACTTCCACATCTTGGAGCTCTCTACTCGTCCCGCAGTCGTGGCCGAGTGGTTAAGGCGATGGACTAGAAATCCATTGGGGTCTCCACGCAGAAGTTCGAATCCTGTCGACTACGCAAATATTTTCTTTTCCATAATTTTTTTTTATTTTTTGCCCTACACGAGCACGTGAGCACGTGAGGTCACGAGCACGAGCACCGGCAAGATCGATGTGAGCACGGGCGCCGGACAGACAAGGCTAGACCCTAAGGAGCTACGCCCCTAACAAAACAGGCTTTACATTTTGCCATTTCAAATTTTTTGAAACTCGTTTATAACTTTTGAATGAGATAACGCTTAGTTCCAAAACTTTGGCATTTGGATTCGGACCGCTAACACCTCTGTTTGGGCAGCGAATGAGCATTCAGCAATGCGTAAATTACTTTTGCAGTGAAAGAGAAAAAAAACATTGTACATTTGTTGTGGTTGGGAGGAGGGGGGGTGAACACCCTGTAGAGTGCACACATCCTTGATAACAAGGCCGGAGGTTTGACTGTATTGCGTCACCTAATGAGGCAAACTGAGCACCGTGGTTGAACAACAGTGCTGGGCCAGCGTTCGAGTCAGGCTCGTCCTCAATCAGCCATGACACGAGTCTTAGCCGAGCGATGACGTTAACACTCGCGTCCAATCTGCGGCTCGCGTTGGCCCTTTTATGGTGACGTAACCAAATTGAGCCCTCCTGTCTCGCTGTCTAGGTGGTGCTGGAACACTCCTGACGGTTATCTAAAAACTCCTCGTTTGCGAGCAGTGAAGGTCTGCGGCTTTAACGGTCTGACCGCGGCTGAACACCGCCACTGCCCATCGCAGATGATCCGCCGGTGCTGACCTTCCGGTTCGCGGAGCAGACGACGGACCCGGGCACGCCCGTGTCCCTCAAGTGTGCCGCGACGGGCACGCCACTTCCCCAGATCACGTGGTCGCTGGACGGTAGTCCCGTGGTGGAGAACCTCCGGCTGCGCATCGGCGACTTCGTCACCAACGACGGCTTCGTCAACTCGTTCGTGAACATCACGTCGGCCACGACGGAGGACGGCGGCCGCTACGAGTGCCACGTGAGCAACGACGTGGAGAGCGTGGTGCACGGCGCCAGGCTGAACGTGAGGGGCCCGCCGTTCGTCAGGGCCATGAGCAACGTGTCCGTGCTCGCCGGGGCCACGCTGGTCGTCAGCTGCCCGGCGGCGGGGCACCCCATCAGCCAGATACTCTGGTACAAAGGTCGGTTTCACCTTGGGTCACGCGGACTTCGCAATTCCGGAGCGCAAACGACGAACTAGAGTCACCCTTAAGGACATGTACAAAGAAAAAATAATAAAAAAAAAACAGTCTAGATGGAAAGAGAATGTTATAAATCGAATTTACAACAAAAAAAATATAGAGCTATATTTTCGGAACAAAACGAATTTGTAGTGCCGCCGCGGGTCACATTTTCACGCCGCCGCCGCACGCTGAGCGTAGTGCGCCTCGGTTCAACGCGTTTCTCCTCGACGCCGCCGCCGCTGGCGCGCAACTTCGTCTGCTCCCGGGCGCCACCGCCCGCCACCTGATCGGTGCACAGGCCTATCACGTCTGCTTGCGCTTTTTCGGGAGCTTCCTTTTGGGCTCTAAAAGTTACTTATTAATATTCGTTTTTTGTTTCGCTTGAAACAAGGATGAATAAGTAACTTTTAGAGACAATAGAAAGCTTCGGAACGAGCGGAAACACCACGTGACAAATAGTGGCGAGTCACGTGATAAACAGGGGCCATTTTTTGCGTGCTGTCCTCGGGGGCAAACTACAGAATCGTATCGCGCCGTAAATATAGCTCTAAAGGTTTTTTCTTTTTTGTTGTAAATTCATTTTATGACTTCCTTTTCCCAACGAGTCTGCTTAAAAAAAAAGGTTTTTGTTTCCTTTGCATGTGTCCTTTAAGCCTGAAACACACGATGGGTAAAAACAGACCTCACGCAGCGGTTACCGGAGGCGCTGCTTACGCTCTGACGCGGACCTATGTCGTGACACCCCTTCGCAGCATCCGCGGTGGTTACTGTGGAAATAGTCAAGCGTCTCCCTGCCTTCATCGCTCGTGCGCGATCAAAAGCGTTGATGTGGTAGGCTTGCCGCGATAAGCCGACCGAAGGGCATAAGAGCATTGCCAGAATGTCAAGATCGACAATGTTGCTATAAAAAAATAACTAAAGAACTAAAATGGCAGCGCGCAGAAGGCGATTTCTGCAAAGGTCTATAGGACCCAACGAAGTAGAGGGCCGTAGAGCGGTAAACTGGCAGCTGAAAAAGACCCCCAATTGACCGCCGCCATGTTGCACATTTTTGACCACTAGACTCGTGACATTAGAGTTTTATTTCGAAATTTTAATGAAGTACCACGCACAAATAAGTGCTTATATTGATCTTTAATAACAACACCGAAAAGATAAGTTATGTTTCGTTCGTTTTAAGTCCCAAATGTGCTTGTACGACAAAAACTCGGGCAGCTTGTCAATGCTTCCGCTAGATGCAGTCAGCCGCGGTGATGTATTTTGGGTTTTTATTGGAGCTTGACACTGGTATTTGGGGCTAACAGAATTGAAAAAAAAAAATAGTTTATCATGTTTACTACACTGATCGTAATTCAAATCTCTGCTTAGTTTTGCGTAAATCTTCAGGATTTGGTATACGGTCACTTGTCTAGTGGTCAAAATTGCACAACACGCCGGCAACCAAGGGGGGGTCAGTCTTGCCTGGTGAACGGGACACTAACCGCCGAATTCAGAAACCTCACTCAAACTACACTCAAACTGAAGGGCCCCTCCACTTCCTCGACTCCACGCCAATCGCGACGGCGAATCCGTCCTCGCGATTGGCCAGCGCCGGCCGTCGCGCCTTCCTCGAGGAAGTGGAGGGGCCCTTCAGTTTGAGTGTAGTTTGAGGGAGGTTTCTGAATTCGGCGGTAAGTCCCGGAGCCAGAACAAGTGGCCACGTGGCCTGGTACATATCTTATGCCGCCAACATTAATCATAACCACGCCCTGGAGTTACCCATGTAGAAAACGCGTGCTGAGTTCCAGGCATTGTTAGAGGTCGGGTATTCTTATCACCGAAATGATTGAACACGAGCCACCTGTCGACTATCCGCTGATGCATTGATTATGACCAGCCGATGTCAAGTTCTCACGGAGTTCTCGGGTCTAGTACTTTCCGGTGTAGGGCGTTTCGGTGTAGGGCGTTTCGGTGCGGACGTTTCGGTGCACGGATTTTTCGGTGCACGGTTATTTCGGTGTACGGACTTTTCGGTGCACAGACTTTTCGGTGCACGGACTTTTCGGTGTGGGACTTCTCGGTACGCGGACATTTCGGTGCACGGACTTTTCGGTGCACGGACATTTCGGTGCATGGCCAATCAAAATCATGTGTTTTTTTTTTGTTTTTTTTCTAAACGTAATAAGCATTACTTCAGCTAGAAATTTTATTTTTTCTAACTTTATAATTTTTTATACTTGGTAATCAATTTACGGCCCCTCACTGATATACCGCCTAAGTGAGTTTGTTAGGCGCAGTACCATTCTACGTGAGGATTGGAGACGTTGGACTTTATGGTTCGTTTGTCGGTGTCTCTTTTCCAACGTACACACTATACTCCGTTCTACCTTCAGTCCGAGCGCAGTGGATGCCACAAGCTATCTAAGCCGATCATCGCCGGGAGAAAATCGCGTGACCTGCCGGTTGGGCAGAGCGACACAAAGAGCTCAAGGTCACATGAGACTCTCTCAACGCTGGATTGGCTGGGGTGGCTCCTAGCGTCAGCGGCGCTCGGACTGAAGGTGAAACAGAGTATAGTCGCATCACATATCTCGGGTAATTTTCAATAATCTCAAGCTTCTTGCTGTTGGGGTCTTTCCTACACATACTACTAATAATGAAGCCCACACCTTTGCAGAAGGCGCCGAGAACGCCTGTGTCGACCCAAGGCGTAAACACGATGTGATGCGTCTAGCGCGTACGTTGGAAAAGAGACACCGGCAAATTAAACACAACGTCCAACGTATCCAGCCCTCCCGCAGGATGGTGCTGCGCCTAACAAGGTCACTTAGTTCGTATATGAGTAAGTGCCCTAAATGGATGACCAAGTTACAAATTTATGAAGTGCGAAAAAAATCATTTTTAGATAAAATTATGCTTATTACTTTTAGAGCAAACAAAACAAAAAAAAAATACTCGTGATTTTGAGTGACCATGCCCCGAAATGTCCGTGCACCGAAAAGTTCATGCCCCGAAATGTCCGCGCACCGAGAAAGTCCGTGCACCGAAAAGTCCGTGCACCGAAACGCCCTACACCGAAACGTCCCACACCGAAATGTCCGGATCCCGCCGGTCTCGTGTCCAATCCATGAGCCGCGCTCGACTGTCTTCAGGCGGGTGGTTTTGATCCCAAAAGTACATCATCAACCTTTGCGAAGGCAGGACTGAATGAAATAGTTCCCTCTTATCCTCGCACTTTCACTGCGACAAGGAAGTTTGTGAATCAGTGCTGGTCTGTGCAAATATACCTGGGCCAGAGTTGGACCAGTACGCCTCTGCAAAGTCATGAACATTCCAACCCGGTATCGTTTCATAAGCCCTTTAACTGATCGGCCCATCGAGAGATCGCTGGCAGAATGGGGCTAGCGGACACCAGCTCGAAACACGTCGAGCTAAAACTCCCGCTGCAGAACCCAGGGACCCTGGGCTCAATCCCCTCCCCTACCCATTTCGATCTGGATGAGCATCCTACCGGCGTGCGATCTTGTATCACTACTGCGTGGTGCACGTTAAATACCGCAGTCTAGCTGTTGTACTGCACTGGCCAGATTTCTCATTACAGCTGAGACACCAGACGCCCATCGATGCTGACTAACTTCCGGTTGTGTAAACCTACACACAGCATTATTATTAATAATATGATCGGTCCATCAGCACACTCCTTTCCTGGCGCAGTGCAGTGTACGCGCCACGCTCGTAGTCGGGATCCCGAGCTGGTTCGGTGTGCCCCAAAGCTTCGGGTGCCTGATAGCAGCTTGGAATTTTTTCAACTTCTGCGTTTGCGCAGTGCGATTCCTCAAGCTGCCTTCTGAGTCCGAGTCCTTTGGACTTAAAATAATAATGATAATAATGTTTATTTTTCCATCAAGCACAAGTACATGATGGAAGGGGACTGAGGAAAAAATCTGAATTTGTGCAGCTTGACGAGTGCTATGAGCCCCCTCCCGAATTGGCAACAGCTTTAGGTCACAAAAAAAATGCATCACATTGTAAAAAAAAAAAAAAACACAAGTCAGTAAATTAATGTACAACATTCCAATGTAGCAGATAAATTAGCAGCTTCGTTCTCTAAAACTTTCTAATGTTATTTGATGGAAATCGCATTAAATAAGTGAGTAGGGCAATGTTTCTTGTGCCGCGTGGTTGCGTCGAGGCACCTGATGTCGTTGTGCCGTTTCCCCCATGATCGCAGGAGACGCCAAGCTTCCGCAGAGCAAGCGGCAGAGCGTCTTCCCGAACGGCACCCTGAGCGTGCTCAAGGTGGAGCGGAGCGGAGACGAGGGCTCGTACCGCTGCGTGGCCAACGGACCCCGGGGGGACTCGGCGTCGGGGGAACTCTTCGTCAACGTCCTCGGTGAGCCCCGAGCCGGGACAGGCATTGGCCCGGGACTTAGGGCGGTGGAGGCTGCTTTCGCACTCGTGGCACTCTCTGCTCAGTTCTTGCTGCGGTATTTAAAACAACTAAAACAAAACGCAAAAAAAAAAAACGAAAAACAGGCAGAGTGAAACTTTATGGGGCATAGAAGCGTTCTGAGACACAAGAAGAGTGTGATTTATTGCTTCTCGTGCACTTTGTAGAAACTGACAGCTTGAAGCCACGGTTACACTCTTAATACATTACACAAAAGACGGTTTATCGACATTGCTTGAGCCGCGCTTTTTTTGTGTGTGTGTGTTTTTTGTTTTTTTTTGTTTTTTTTTTTGTAGACAGACCTGCGTCATTGGTCATGCAGAAACTGTCGGCAGTCCTGTTCAAAGCATACATAGGTAAGAGGGAGACGGCCTTCGATCATGCTTGAAACATGTCTGATTTAAAACTATGGTTCACACTGCCATCAACAATTTTATTCCCCTCCGAGTCAAAAAAATCTCCAAGCAAAACCCGTGGATAACAAAAAATATTATTCGCATGAAGCGTAGGCTAAAAAGAAAAAGGCGGAATCTAAAAAAATGCGAGACACCTCAAAAGCGAGAGGAAGTACAGGGCCTTTCGGATACTCTTAAATCGGAGGTTCGCAATGCTAAATGTTTTTATATGGAAAATTCGCTCACAAACTTTCTAAAAAATTCCCCAGAAAAGTTTTGGCGACATTTATCTCCGGTTAAGGAAACTGTTCCAGGTACTGTCAAGAACGGTTCTATTATAACAGACAAGTGGCAAGTTGCTTCATCATTCAACCATTACTTTCAGTCAGTTTTCACAAGAGACGATGGCATCCTTCCCAATTTCTACGTGTCTTGTGGCATTCCTGCTATAACTGACGTGACAGTGAACCAGCAAGGTCTGTTCAATTTCTTATTAATCCTTGATGCTAAAAAATCATCCGGGCCTGACGAAATACCTAATATATTTCTAAAAAGATATGCAGAATGGTGCTCCCATTACCTGGTAATAATTTTTAACCTAACACTTGACAAAGGAATAATTCTCCGAGATTGGAAATGTGGCAAGATAATTCCGGTCCATAAGAAGGGTGATAAAACTATCTTGAGTAATTATCGACCGATTTCCCTAACGAGCACGTGCTGTAAAACTTTAGAACATATCTTATCGAAACATTTGATCACTTTTATTGAGAGTAACAAACTTCTGGGCTCTAATCAGTATGGATTCAGACGGGGGTGTTCTACAACTACGCAGCTAATCGAAATTTTTCATGATTTGAGCATAACCGCAGATAAAGGGGAGCAGGCAGATATTATATTTTTAGATTTCGCTAAAGCTTTTGACCGCGTATCGCACCCGAAATTGTTGTACAAGCTTAGTCACGTTCTTAAGAATGATCAGATAGTCGATTGGTTGAACTGATATTTATCAGGACGGGAACAGTATGTGTATTTTAAAAAGGAGAGAACAGAATCATTACAAGTAATATCCGGCGTCCCGCAGGGATCGGTACTTGGACCGCTTCTTTTTATATTATTTATCAGCGACATGGGAAAGGACTTTGACTCCGCGGTAACTTTAAAGCACTTTGCGGATGACACTGAGATTTACTCCAATATCAGTTCCAATGAAGACCAACTAAATTTGGACAAGCACTTGCGTAAGATAATGAAATGGTGTGCTGACTGGCAGATGGAACTGAATATAAGTAAGACGGTCTACATGAATGTAACGCGCAAAAAACAACACTTACAATTTAACTACAGTATTAATGGTCTTCCGCTTGTTAAAGTTAACGAATATAAATACCTTGGAGTGCACTTAAGAAGTGACTTAAGCTGTAACTCCCATATTGACTATGTATGTAAGAAAGCCTTTCAAAAACTATGGATGCTTAAAACAAAGTTGGAGTTCGCTAGTTTCGATGTCAAATTAATCGCCTTTAAGTGTCAAATTTCGCCAACTCTGGAATACGCTAGTCCGGTTTGGGAGTCATTCACAAATCAAAATATTTATGAATTGGAAAGAATTCAAAATAAGGCCGCTAGATTTATCTTTAATTGCTACCGGTCGACTGAGTCGGTCACAAAACTCAAGGAGCAAGCAGGCCTGCCTAGCATAAAAACCAGATTATAAACGAATAGAATGAAACTTTTTTTTTTTTTTTTCAGATATTTCATGGTCATTCGATGTTGGATACCCGAAAATACGTCGTGATGTCTCCTCCGGTGTACCACAGAATAAAACATAGCTTAAATATCCAATCCTATCAATACTCTACGGATCATTTTAAGCACTCCTTTTTTGTTCGATGTATTGATTTCTGGATTAAGCTGCCTGAATGTATAGTCAACTCTCAAAGTGTGTCAACTTTTGTGAAGGAAATTGAAATGTTACTTCCTACCCATGTCACCAAGGGATGTGACTGAATTATTGAATTCTTTGTGTGTCCTTGGTATGTTTTTGAAAATATGTACCACTCCTGCCTTGGCCTCACGGCTGGCAGAATGAATAAATAAATAAAAAATAAATAATTTTGTCATCCCGTCTGTAGCTAACACTGTGCCTTTCGTACGATGTAGGAGCAGTGTGACTATGGCTTAAATGGCTACTCACAATACCAGTATTGATATTTATTTTTAATGTTGTACTACACTGAAAAGGATTCTTAGGGATCGCCCCAGAAATCTTAAAGCTTAGAAACTGGTTACTTGTAGGGAAAAAAAATAATATATTCGAAAGGCCTGATTTGAAACTTCTGCCCATAACCTTTGACGTCGATAGCGAAATGAGAACCTTTCTGCATGACTTCAACCAGGAAGTACCGTTTACCTTTATCCTTTTTTCTTTCGCCCATCAGTGTGATCACGAGCGCTCGCGTCTTTAAACGGGCCAATCAGAGCCTACGTTGCTGTGTTGCTGTGCGATTGCAGCGCTCAATTTAGCATTCGATTTAGCAGAAATTAGGACTCGTAAGAACAATACTGGTGCCCAAAAACCGGCTCCGCCGTGGCTAGGGAGCTATATATCCAGACCGGTATACGTACCTGTGTGCCTAGATTTCGGGGTGTTCCTAAGTGCTCGGTCCGGATCACATCCTCACGGGCGCGTTTGTAGAACGAGCTGAGGGTTCGCGGCCAAAAGTGTCGATTGTTTGCAAGCGTCTCTGGGCCCTGCATGGTCTTTCTTCCGCTATCCTTCTCGCCACCCGGCGTCGCACACATACGCGAGGAAAACACGTCTGCTTCCGCCATTAAATTGCGCACGCTCTCCGTGGCTTCAGTTGCTTCCTCTCTTAAATCTAGGCTTTCTATGCACAGCGCAATTTCGTCTGGTTCTCGCCCAGGCATTGGTGTGATATCGCAACTCCGAGCTCTGATTTCCTCTGATTGGAAGGATAGCGGGTAAACCTGAATGCTAACTATCTTGAGGTTGTCCCTCTATGCTTTCAATCGGAGCCAATCAGAGCTCTTCGTTGTGATATCACACCAATCCCTGAGCGAAAAGCAGACGAAATTGCGGTGTGCATAGTCCCTGGCAATTTAAAAGTCAGGATGTCACTTATAACGTTTAGGCTATTGTCTTCGTGATTTGATGCTTGAAATTGTGATTCGTTAATGCGGCAATGTTTTGGACAGTGAAGCGATCATAGAAGATCGAAACTCACCCCGTCCGACGTTCTTTTTAAAGCTGAGGGTGACTAAACCAGGGTCACAATGCTTATTGATTATACAAACGGCAGTCATCATACATCAAGCTGAGGGTGACTAAACCAGGGTCACAATGCTTATACATTATACAAACGGCAGTCATCATACAGTCTGGAACGCGAATCAACGTGACATCCGTGAATCAAATGCCGCGTTGCAATGAGTTCAAGCAGAAAACTTGGCTCTTGGCATTCGAACCATGGATATTGCGGTGACTCGTTCGTGTTTGCATGCACACTGTCTTTTGTATGATGTATCAGCAGTGTGACCCCAGCTTAAAGCCGGGATCACACTCATACTCATACACTGCTCATACATCATACCAAACAGAGTCTGCAAACAGATTCGGATGCAAGTTACACAAAATCCGTGCGTAGATTTCCGCGTGGCAACGAGTTCAAGAAGAAACTTGGCACGCGGCATTCGAACCACGGATACTGCGGGGACTCGGTCGTGTTTGCATGATGTATAAGCACTGTGAACCAGGCTTAAAGCACGTAAGCGCCGACACCGATGCCCTCTCAAACTCCCGGGATCTAAATCCATACTCAAACAGGTCCACACGTTAGCATGTTCCAACTCGCATACAATGCATACCGGCATAGTCGCGGAAGCGTACGCTCGCGAAGGTCAAAGCTCACTCGTGTGAACGCGTGACGAGTGTTCCCTCATCTTTTCTACCATAATTTTGACGTCAAAACTTGTACCGTTACTTGCCGGGAACATTTGTTCGTTTCGTATGTTGGCTCTGATCAAATATATCCGCACGGGAGAGCACCCGCGCCCGAATCAATATATCGAGGAAAACTCGGGGATATCCCGCTGCGCGCAAGGGGAGGTCGAAAAAGCGCGACAGGCCCAACGGGCCGTCGAACGAGAAGCGAGATGGAGTGCGCACTCGGAAAAAGGCCTCGGAAATATTTCACAAGTGCGAGAATGAAGGGCCATTCCGATTCGAACGGACCCGTCGATGCCGGCGTCAGGCGCCATTAGCATACGGCAGAAGAGGCAGCAGCCGAACCGCCTCGGTGCGTATTCTGCTGCTCTCCCGCATGTCGTAAAAAAATCATCTCCGTTGAAAGATCACTTTGCTAGACGATATGGCGCGTGTCTGTGCTGGCTCTCGCTCTCCCCGCTCATTAATATTTCTGACAATCGGAGAAGAAACGTTTGCGTTGCGAGGGAATGCTGGTCGGACATCTTTGGCTTTTCGTTCTCCCTTAACTATTTTGTTTTCTCTCTCTCTCTCTCTATGTGCGAGTGTGCGGGGAAGCGTGTTCCAGGAATGTAAACTTGCGCCGTCGTAAAAACACAAACACATCTTCAAAACCCGGCTAGTACTGTCTGAGTCGACAACCGCAAAAAAAAAAAAAAAAAAAAAAAAAAAACGTTTGCAGACGAACGAACAATGGGGGGGGAGGGGGGGGGGGGTTGGAGGCAAAGCCCCAAACTTCCGAAAACGCGAAGGTTCGCATGCATAAAAGATTTTAATTATTATAATGGCTTTGGTCACGAACGTTTCATATTCTTTTTTTTTTCTTTTTTCGGCGAGCTACACCCGGACGGCAAACATACTCACTCAGCAAATTTTGCTGGAGGAGGAATCAATATCGGCGGCACCAGACTAGGACTGGCTCGTATATATGCACGCGCGGAAACTCTAAGTAAACAGGAGAATTAAAAAGAGAAACAATATCAAACGAGCTCGTAAAAAACGCGCGCGCAGTTTTTTTTTTCTTTTTTTTTTCTTTTGCCGATTTCAAGTTTGCGAAATGGAATAACCCGTCACATTCAATTTTGTTTTCTAGTGGGTTTCAGCGACCAATGCAACGGCTGCATCAGGAGAAAACGCACGGCGTAAGTTGAGAATAAAATGTGGGATTCCTGCGAACCCTTGAAAAAAGAAAGAGGCGGCAACCCCGCCCAAATCATCATTATTCCCCAACTCCAATTCAGATAAGATAAGAACAAAAAAAAAAAAAAAAGAACGCATATAACGGATGAACGGTGAGAGCCAAGTTGGAAATGACTGGTTCACGCGTAACGCGGGCTGCGGGGCGTGGTGCAGTCTGTTTGCGCGCAATACCGAATCTCTCCTGTTCTCACCGCGCTTTTTTCTCGTTGTTTTGCTATACCTGTTCACACAGCGAATCCTCCAGGGGAGAGGCGCAACGTTGGGTAAAACTTGGCCGCAGCGCTAACGAGCAATCAAGGAGGGAGTTATGAATATGCTAAAAAGCGGGGCACCGCGGCCGTCCCCCTTCGCATCTCGCGTCGCGCCTCGCGGTGTCTTCGGGAATTCCGACGCAGCGGCTTATCGCTCTGAGCGCTCTCTGGCATGCTAATGGGAGAGTTCGCCGGCTCCGGCCGCCTAATGACGGGTGGCGTGCCGGTCCTGCTCGCCGCGGTCGGAACTCGGCGCGAGCCGTGCTGGCGACGCAATCGCACTGCCCGACATTTCTCGCACCCCCCGAAACGGACGACGATTCCTTTGTGTGCGTTTTGGTCGCGGTTCTTCCTGTCGACGGGAAATCAACGCTGCCGCCCCTCGCTCCGCTGAATGAGCTTTGGCGTGGAGGAGCAAAGTTTTGGCGGAATCGCGCGGGCGTCTGGTGGTTGCGGTTCTACGGCATTCCGGTCGTTCCGGCTCGTCTCCACTACGCTCCGACGCTTTCTCTGGGGAGGGGACACAACGCAAGCCAGAATAATTCAAGCCTGTGCGCTAGAGTTTGACGTCATTCCAGTGAAAGCGAGCAAAGACGCAAGTTATACACGAGTAATGCGTCAGAATTCGGCTGTGCCTCGTGTGCAATCAACGTGTCGAAGGAATGCTCGGCATGGGGCTCAGGTCCAAATAATATGTTTTTTTTTCCTTTTAAAGAAAGCCCAAAAGTTTGCTTACGAAATCCTGTATGCTTTTTCTTGCCCCCACAGCATGTACCAAGCGACACTGGAGTGACTGAAAGAGAAAGAGGATAGCGCCGTTTCACGCGTACTCTCGCCCATCTGCGCCCTCGTTTTATCCGTCGTTCTCCTCCGTCGCCCGGTGCAACCAGTGTTGTACATAGAGTTCCCGGCATTCTTTTAGGCGCCGCGGACGGCGCTGCACGTTTTACGAGAGGTCTATTGTCGAGTTGGCGCCATCCCACAGTCATGACGTTTCACAGAGGAAGAGGAGGATCTTCGCAGGCCTGAATTTTTCTATTAAATATTCTCGTGCGCTGTACGACCGCAATTTTTTTATATATATAAATAAATGAGTGATTGAAGTGCTGTGAAACTTTCCAGAAAAGTGTCTTTAGGCGGTGCATGTATTATACTAACATGGTATGAGTGTAGACTCCAAGAAAAAAAGAAGTATGCACGGGGTGGAAATTGGCAAAAATCGTTTGTTAGTCGCCGGATCTTCATTCGGGTATTTATTAAAACAAACCTTTCTTGTTTTTGTTTTATGATGTGATATCTGTGAGTAAGAGCGTCAACCAGAATGTTTTCTCCCGTTTTCCTTTACGTTCAAAAAAAAAAAAAAGGAAACGGTTTTTCGTATTCAGAAAGAAACCCCGAATGATTGCGGGAAGAACATTTTTATTTATAGCGTTATTTTTGCGTTGACCGCGAGCACAGTGCACACTGAACTGTCCACGGGAGTTACTTCGGAGCCAGATACCTTGTCACATTTCCTTCTTTCATAGGCACCGGGACCGTATTTCAACTATTTGGATCCCACCCATGCTAGTATCTACAACATTAGCCCCGATAAACATCGAGTTTTGACAAAACACCTAAACTAGGCACCGAAAAACACCGAACCTGTGGGGACATAAAATAAACCTCTAAAAAACGCAACCGCAAATTCCAAGAAAACTGAGCCCCGCAAACACGAATCCCAACTTTTAAAGCCGCGGTAAAACTGCTAGAATCTCAAAGAGAAGACAGTGTGCAGACAGTGTCCGAGGCATATTCCTTCTTGTTATGATGGTCTCGTCACATTGGTCTTACAAAAACTGTCTACTGACACGGTAAAAGCATGCACATGCATGAAGCGCTTCGAACGTGCTCGAGGCGTGTCCGCAAATATTTCCGTCATAATAGGGAGTTTTAGGGAACGTACCGTTTTTGCACATCCCATACGGTACGATGGGTCATTCAGTACGAACTGCGCATGTGTTACCGCAGAAGACTCGCATAGGCGCAGTTCGTAACGGAGGGCAGTTCGTACCGTATCGGAAGTGCAAAAACGGTTCCCTAAAGCTCTTTATTAGGGAGTTTTAGGGAACCGTCTTTGCACATCCGGTACTGTACGATGGCCCTCCGGTACGCACTGCGCATGTGCGAGTCTTCTGTCATAGCACATGCGCAGTTCTTACACGAGGGCCCATCGTACAGTACCGGATGTGCAAAAACGGTTCTCTAAAACTCCCTAATAGAGAGTTTTAGGGAACCGTTTTTGCACTTCCGATCCGGTACGATGGGCCCTCCGGTACAAGCTACGCACATGGGAGACTTCTGTTGTAGCGCATGCGCAGTTCGTACCGGAAGGCCCATCGTACCGTATCGGGTGCGCAAAAACGGTTCCCTAAAACTCCCTAATGTGTGTAGCAAACGCCGTGTCTTTGTGTGTGATGTACGAGCAATGCGACGGCCGTTTAACGGAGCGTCCCCTCGCGGTTTGCAGTGGCCCCCGTCGTCGGTCCCTTCTCGTTCCCGGCCAACCTGAAGGAAGGCATGCGCGCCATCGTGACCTGCTCGGTGCTCGAGGGAGACAGCCCGGTCCGCATCCGCTGGCTCAAGGACCGCGGCCCCTTGGCGCCCAACGGCGCTGACGTCAAGGTCGAGTCAAGCAACGAGTTCTCGTCCACCCTCTTCATCAAGCAGGTAGGCACGTGAGAAGTCGCCCTCATCGGCGGGGAGTAGGTTCATTTGCCTGGACTACAGAGTGTCTCAAAACTGATCCATAGGAATCACGTGGTGTATGCTAACGTCTCTTCTAGGGTCTCTGTTCAACCTTTTCGCCCGCTCTCCTCTCCACGCGACAAGTCAGCGCATGCGCTCTAGTGACCAATCCGCCCATGAGACGTCCGCCGTTGAACTGCAAACGCTCTCTATGGTTTGAGTTGCTTCATCGCTTAGATTTAGGCTCTCGAGTGTAGGTTGTTTTGTGTTAGTAAACGTTGTCTGGGAGTGGCAGGACGCCCTAGCTTGCTGTAAGTGTGTAACAGCATTGAGCTCAGAACAATCTCACTAGCGAACTATCACTACTATGGTACCGGGAGCGCGTCTCCGACTGGTGAGTTTAGCATCCTATCCTGCCGATACATCAAAAGGGGTCCGGAAGTGTCAACAAATGGCGTCATAGAAACTTGAGTGTGATGCTGTAGGACGTCGCGATCCTGGCGGTTTATTCGTAGAAGTGCTGGCGAAAAGCAGAATCGAACGCGAGTGTCGCTGTCGTCATGGCGTGCTAACTTCTGGTTGCTGAAACTTCCGTGGACTGTCACACCAGAGAGCGACATGCAACAGAACAGGCGTTTGCTACATCCAGCACCGCTGATGGTACACCGTTGGGATCGCGAAGGGCGACAGCATGACACGTCTATGACGTCACCAGAAGGAAATTGATTGACCACCTTTTCGGACACAATACACACACCAGTCCGAGACGCGTTCCAGGCAGCGTACTGTAAGTGTGTAACAGCAGTGAGCTTAGCACAATCTCACTAGTGAACTACCACTACTGCCGCATCATCGAATTTGTAATCGCACATGCAGACAGGACGACAAGGTGCAAACATAAATAGGCGCTTTTCCTAATTTTATTCACAAATGTTCGAGCGAAGCCTTTATTTAAACCGCGCTGGTCTACTTCTCAATTAACCGAATTCCGCAAACAAATGGTTTTATAACATAAGCACTAACTTCGACAAAGAAAACAGAAAATTCGATGGTCGATAGCTGCATGGTGCTCTGTACGTGCCAATAAAAACTGAATATTTCTGCAGAGCGCTTTACGCTGCTGCACTAATGTCTCCTACGGTTGTGAAGACTTGCAAGAGGCTCATATCGCATTATATATATATATATATATATATATATATATATATATATATATATATATATATATAGATATACATACAAACACTCTATAGAACCTGGAGAGTCTACTTTCCTGCGAAGCGCTTTGGAGACCCAATAGGTATAATCTAAGGAGTAGTTTCGAAGAATTACGGGGCGAATAATATGTTTAAAAGTTGCGCGATGTGGCACTGAGCAAGACGTTTCATCTTCTCATTGCCACAGTAAAGCGTGTCATTTTTAGGTCAGATAAATTGATGTTTACTAAAAAGGCTGGATGTCGCATAGCCCTTATCCGAGGCTGGCGCAGGTGAAGTTGCCGGAAGTTGGAGTTTTGTCCCGGAGGTCAGGCGTCTGCTAGGCTTCCTATTGCATTCCGTAGATATTTTGGTTGATTCTTTCTAGTTTCTTGATCGGGTTTTAATAATTTATTTTTGAATTATATTCCGATAATAAGGCACTTGCACGTGCAACATATGCACAACTGATGAACTAGAATTTCACAATTTTCCCATCCAATGGCTTCCCTGGAGTCTTCCCTGTTCTTCATGCGCTGTTACTATGCAACAAACAGACTCCCGTGAGACGACAAGAAAAACTACATCGTCCAGAACGCTGTTGACACCAGCACTTGGAAAGTTGAGGAGTCTGTCAAGCACTCACTTCCGGGACAATCCGCTTACTTCCGGTGGCTTGAAACCTGTTTGTTCAATACGCCATCCAGCCCCCTACTTGAGATGAGTGGTCTGGACATTTGTCCAGCCTCGCCATTCACCCAGCTCCCTCCGTCGATTAGAGCGATTTGCCTTCCCCAGGGCTTTGCAGGAATGTCAAGGACCCAGACGTTTTGTTTTATGTATTGTACGATTAACAACAACAGACGTCCCAAAACTTGTTAGTTGTTTATACGGCACGAGTTTCGTTTGCCAGAGTATGGCGACATTGTTACCCACTAGACATGAGCAATTTAGCCAGTTCAGTACGACTGCTAGGCTGGGGTCTCTAGCGCGCATCACGCTATAATGATACAGGACCGCACGCCGGTACGATGCTCATCCAGATCCAAACAAGCAGGGGTGGGGATTGTACCCTGGAGACCTATGTCGCGCTTTTTGGACTCCCACGGCGATTAGGGAGAAGGAAGTGACGTCAACAACGCAATAAAACGCAGATTGGATGTTTCTTCTGCGGAAATTCGTCATCAGCGACCCTCACTAATCAACATCCAATCTGCGCTTGCTGCGTTGTTGACGTCACTTCCTTCTCCATAGTCGCCGTGGGAATCCAAAAAGCGCAACATAGGTCTCCAGGATTCAACAGGCCCATTGCATCACGATATGGTTAGAATCGCAAAGACTGGAGTGGGAAAGGAAGACGAAGAGACACAGAACCAAAGGCCCTGTGGGATGCGTCTCTTCGGGTTATATTTTTTTACCCGTGGTCTCAGGGTTTGGGTTTATGCCGTTGCCGAAGTAAGTATTTCGACTCGTTCTAATTCATGATGCTCGCGTATCTCTCTACCAGGTGAACTACAAAAACCGAGGGGAGTACACCTGCGTGGCGTCCAACAGCGCGGCATCTGCCAACTACACGGCTAACATGGTGGTCAACGGTGAGTATTGGCCCTCTCCTCCCCCCCCCCCCCCACCATCTTTCACAACGCTTAGAAGAAGAAGGTCAACGGTGAGTATTTTTTTGTTGTTGTTTCTTTATTAGGCCCGTTAGCCGTAGTGCTATTACACTCCGTTTTACTTTACGCCCAAAGGCAGCAGAGGCGGCGATCCGATGTAGCCAATCAAGCAAGATTTAACGGAGAAGAGACCTCCGGCTCTTTGCCTTTTGTGAACTCACAGTTTTGCTAATTCTGTGTTTATATTACCACTTTCGACCTTGACCTGATGTGATACCAAAAATTGAAATGACACCACCCCTTAATGGAAGAAGGAGAGCATGTATTCTGTCGTTCCCGTTGCTGAATTCACTCATGAATTAAGCAAGCTCAGCATGTCTCTAAAAACAATCAGTTAACTTGACAGTTCTTGCTTACGTGACGTCTTTTATTAGAACACACAAAAAATCCTTGTCTTTTTTAATTGGGATATTTTTTTCATCGAGGATCCCGAGTTCTTAGTTTTATCTTTGGTAGTTGCTCCTGTCCATCTTGATTTTGCGCAGCCGAGATGCATCCTTCGGTGACAAGCTCGCACTTGCAGTCTTAACTCTGTGTCTATAGTTGCATGCAGTACAAACCAAGGCAGCGCCAGGCGAGGGACGAAAGGGCAAGCACAAGGACGGCTGCGAAGGAGGAGAGAAACATCCTCCCCTCTCAAACGTTCCTATTAGCGGCGAGAAGTTTCGGTGGCGCCCTCGTTCAGTTGCCTTTCGTGACGTCATTACCTTGTGAACAAGTTCGGTGGTGTTTGTAATGGGCATGGCGGCAGCCTGAAATCATAGCGCTCTCAAAGCAACACTGCCAACACCGTCGAAATTGAAGTTCTTATATTCCTCGTATTTCCGTCGATAAGAAATCCTTTGCTGGCGTCATAGTCAGCATTCGGTCAGTTGTGGTGGGCCAACCACAGCGACGCTTTCGATCGCTCACGTCGCCAATAGGGAGTATTCACTGGCGGCCATAACTGTGTGCGCGAATGCTGAGCGCGTGCTGATGGCGAGCTTCCACAGTTCTTTTGCAACGTGAATTGCGCACCATCAAGAGTGCCGGTCTTAGCAGCCTATTGATGTGAGCTCGTTCTGAGCATGTGCTCTAAACAGTACCCACAAATATGGCGTCGAGTGAATACTCCCTATACCCGTTTTCACCTTAAGAACCGTAGTGAAAAAAAGTCCGGCTCGTCGCGCAGCATTACTGATTTCCCAGTTAATGTAGAGAATTACGATATATGCGCTTGCATTTGAGATTAGTTATATGTTGTCTAATCCAGACGTACACGTTCAAAACGCCAAAAGCATCGCTTTTTCCTCTGATAACTAAATCTCGTAAGAACTACTTTGCGCCGTGTATGAACAATGCGCAAAACTTTTTTTTTTCTTGAGGTGAAAATGGGTATAGTGCTCTCCCGTTCCTCCCCTCGCTCCCCTCTCCCGACCCGCCTTCCTAGTGCTTTCCCTTCCTCTCTTCGCCTGGCGTTGCCTTCGCCAGCACTACACCGTGGCCTGCACTGTAGGGTGCCTACATGTCTGTCTGTCTCAGAGTGAAGACATCCATTGTTGCCCTAAATGTGCCACCGCGTGACACTCTGGCGCACTCGGTGCGTGACTTGGGCGGTAAAATGGCGTCTATGCATTAGCGAAAGCTACGCGCTCGAACTGAGTGACAAAGGATTGCGCGCACTTCGAAATGCGTAAAAAAAAAAATCGATTGGGCGGAAAAATGGTTGAGATGTCGCCACTCAAGCAAAAAGCGCGCGTGTGTATGAAGGCACTTCACTGCACTGCCACGGGGGGATCGAGTGGCCGTGGCACTGCACACAACTTGTGGAACGGAGTATAGTAGCGGAATAGTTCTACGGGTGTTCATCGTGACACAAAATGGGAAGCGTAAAATAAAGCGAAGCAAAAGGCAAATGAACACAGATAAGTATAAACTATGCGAATACGTTAAATGGACAGAGCTATATTCTTCGAGCGGAAATAAAACGGTTACATCAGATGCCATTGCTAGCGATCAAGACAAGGAACACGGGACTCGTTGCCGGTTTCCCGCGGGTCGCGGCCCAGCGAGTTGCGGGACATATGTGGCCCGCGGGGTTTATGTTCGAGACCCCTGATTTATATAAACTAGCAAGTTTGAAAATCGCGGTAAGCCTTACAAAGTAGGCGTCATAAATTACGCGAGTTATCCATTAATTAATAAATCATTTTATTTAAGCACTGTGTCAACGAGGAAGGTTTACTTTTCCGTAATAATTAGAAGAAGCGTTAATCATTAGTCAACAGCAATTCACGCTCCCAACTATTCTCCTGATGCAGAAGTTTAAAACAACTAAAAATATTTTAACATTTCATAAGTTTAAAACAAATAAAAATATAAACGAAAGTAAAAATTGCGTTGCTCAAAAAAAGATGATAACGATTGAGAAGGGAATTTCAAGTTACGTACCTTATTCATTTTCCCTGCTACTTTATCTAATCTCCAGTTATGTGTAACCAGCATGTAAACACACGTTTGCATTAGGGGAGACAGGCCGAAATGCGGTTAACACCATTTGCTATCTCCGCTATCCACCGATGAATGACATGGTTGAATGATGTTGTTTACTTGACATCCCTACAGTAATGGAGAGCTTAAGTCACGCAGGGCATCTTCTATTATGTTCGCTCCTCTTGATTCATAATTCGTTCTTTGACATCTTATTGGCTGCGCAATCTTTTGACGTCGCAGCTATTGGCAGCATGTATGTATGTATGTATATTTGAGGCCCGATCTCTTTGTAACGAGAGTCTTGTAAGACATGCCAATAAAAGCAAAAAAGAAAACCTAAATAAAAAGGACCACAACGGAAGAGAAGTAATTAGCACGTGTCCAAAGTTCGCCAACCGTCACTTTCGCACAGTCAAAGTTAATCAGTTCCCATGACACCGTCGTTTTAAGTGAGTGTTTGCCCCTCCAGCCAAAAGTAAAGCAGCGGCTATTGGCCATCTTGGTCACCTTGGTCGTCTTGGTCACGACCCCGATTTTTCAGTCGAGTCTGCCACCATACCTCGAGCCTCCGCTTGGAGCATACAACATGGGTCTATTCGTTGGTGAAACCAAGTGCCTGCTTCAAGCGGCTACCCACGACAGGCGTTGGGTGTAGCGCCCTGCACGCAAGCAGCGAATGGTCGGCTGTCTCTTCGCCCGCTCCACACGCACTGGATACCGTGTCAGTCATGCTGCTATCGTTAACCCTCTTTCTTCATGATCTGCACATTAACCTCGACTCTAACATACAAACTGACGCCATATTTTTAGATTTTTCAAAAGCATTTGACAAAGTATCTCATCAGCGCTTGCTACTAAAACTTGCTCAGTTGAACTTGGACCATAATATCTTACGATGGATCAAAGAATTTCTTAAAAACCGCTCCCAATCTGTCCTAGTTAACAACCAGTCTTCTAATCTCATCCCAGTCACATCGGGCGTCCCCCAAGGGTCTGTTCTTGGTCCGCTTTTATTTTTAATATATATTAATGATTTACCGCAACATTTATCCTGTAATATTCGCATGTTTGCAGATGACTGCGTCATCTACCATTCCATCACTAACGTATCGGACCAATCTGCTCTCCAAAACGACCTTAACCGCGTGCTGCAATGGTGCGACCGTTGGTAAATGTCACTTAACTCTACTAAATGTAAAGTTATGTCCTTTCACCGCCGCCGCAATCCTCTTTTCTTTCCCTATACCATCACTACCACCCCGTAGAATTATCTTGGCGTACGCATATTACTAACATTACCTCATCTGCTAACAAAACCCTGGGATTCCTCAAACGTCAACTACGCCACGCCCCTCAGGAAGTAAGACTACTCGCCTACAAATCACTAATAAGATCAAAGCTTGAATATGCATCCGCCGTCTGGGGCCCTCACCAAGTATACCTCATCAACACAATCGAAGCAGTCCAAAATCGCGCAACTAGATTCATTCATTCTTCATACTCGTACCATACCAGCGTATCACCCCTGAAAGCTGAATCAGGTTTACTTAGTCTCGCTTGTCGTCGCCGCATCGCCACCCTCTGTTTGTTTCACAAGTTATTCAATTCCCCCCTCTGTATCTCACCTTACATCGTATCTCCCACACGCATATCTCACCGCACCAGTCATCCTCTCCAGGTTGCTCGCCCACGCGCTCGCACTGTCACTTTTTCTGCGCCATTCTTCCCCCGAGCAGCTCCAGACTGGAACGGCCTTCCCCACCACATTGCTGCCATCACCTGCCCGTCAATCTTCTTCGAAAATGTTACCAATCATCTCTCATCCTGAAGACCAGCACTGAAATGAAATGAAAAAATCGTACTTGCTTCGGTATAGGCGGGTACGTAGGGCACCAACACGGGCCTCTATAAGTAGTCGACTGCCCCGTGTGTTCCCCCAGAAAGTCACCGGGGCAATCTCCGTCTTCAGAGACGCGTACATGTGCATGGAAGGGTGTTGTAGCATGCCGATCATCCAACGGTCCCTCTCAACCCTCTTTACTTCCTCCCGCACTGTGCTCACCCACTCCTTTTCTGTTTGAGGTTCAGTGGCCAAGCTGAAGATCTTAAACTTTGTCCCAAGACGAGTGACTCGCTTCCTCCACGTCGAGTCGATATGCTTCAGGTAAATGTACATAAAAACTCGCCTAGCCCACCGGTCTCCGTTCATGTACCGGAGACGTGTGTAGTACTGAAGCTAGCTGTTTGCCTCCCGCGCTTCAAAGAAAGACAAGCCGACATCGCTTTCTATCAGTTCATTGGCTACTTGTCCATGGCACCCTAGTGCCTGTCATCCGACCTCCCTTTGGCGCCGCCCAAGATATGTGCGTAGCTCACTAGGAACACATATGACTGAGTTTTCAAAAGTCAGCCGGGGCACAGCCACAGCCTTCCCAAGTTCTCGGGTGACA